ACCGAAAATATGCTAATTACAGAAAACGGCCTTGGGTCATGTTTTGCCGAAACACTTGAACTTATTTTCACTTTTAAATCACGACCTTTTATACCGAAAATATGCTAATTACAGAAAACGGCCTTGGGTCATGTTTTGCCGAAACACCCCCTGCAGTTTTCAAAATATCTCAAATGTCGGAAATTTGACTCCTGAGCGTGATTTTTGAGCCGAATTCTGACTCTCTGCACCTATTTTCATTTTCAAATTATGAACTTTTATACCGAAAACATGCTAATTACTGAAAACGCCGATGGGTCATATTTTACCCAAACCCCCGTGCAGTTTTCAAAATATCGCAAATGCCGGATATTTGACTCCTGGGCGTGATTTTTGAGCCGAATTCTGACTCTTTGCACCTATTTTAATTTTCAAATTACGACCTTTTATACCGAAAATATGCCAATTACTGAAAACGGCGATGGGTCATATTCTGCGCAAACCGCCCATGTAGTTTTCAAGGACGACGACTCAACAGGTGGTCGTCTTAGAAGCTGGTCGTCTCAGAAGGTGGTCGTCTCAGAAGGTGGTCATCTCAAAAGGACGATGACTCAGAAAGTGGTTGTTTCAAAAGGTGTTCGTCTCAGAAGGAGGAGGACTCAGAACGTGGTCGTTTCAGAAGGTGGTCGTCTCAGAAGGAGGACGACTTAGAACTAAGGTGTTATGTAAAGTTATTACAGAGTTTGAACTTTATGTCTACGTGTCAAACTGTGTCAACGTCATTTGTGATGAGAGGTGTTTGTGTGGTCTGCTTTTAATTAATGTCAATGTATTTGGTGATGTTGAATCTTATGTGAAGCCTAAATTCAAACTGTTTTCGGGTAAATAGTTGAATGTGTTCCAGATGATGTGAGTCTGTTATTAGTTAATCGTTTGAAAACGTTTCCTAATGCCTCAAATAAACTAATTGGTCTATACTTTTCGGGGTCAGATTATGATTTTAATTTTTGTTCTGGTTTTATATGGTGGGTGGCTGTGGCTAATTTAAAATGACGGGGAAGTATCCGGAGGCGTGAGAAACATGATAAAGGTGAGTGAGAGCAGTGATTAAGGAGTTTGGTGATGGCAGATCCACGCGGGGGTCTGTGAGGAGTGCCCACGAGAGTCATCTTGTCCTCTGGGCAAAGTCAGGGGAGTCTGGATTTCAGTTTAGGAGTTTGAGTTGTCAAAGTCAGTGGTGTTGTCAGGAGAATTTTGTCGTCGATTCTGACGCATCCTGATGTCAATTGGTTGTGTCATAAAATTCTGAAGATTGAGGTGACTGTGAATTAAATATGGCTTGCCAGTGGTGTTTGAAAATGATGATGATTTTATCAGGGTCGAATATTTCTCGATTGTTTTGACGTGATAGATGGGAGTGAAAGTGAATATTTTTTGTGTGGTTTTGAGTATTGATGTTTCCGCTATTTGTGCAATTGTAGTTAGTGTATCGTGCACGGTGCTGTCTGTGTCAGTGGATAGGTTTCCATTGTATGCTTAGGTTAGACCAGCCTCGTCTATTATTTGTCTGAATGAATTCCAATTGACCCTTTTGTACGAAAAGTTAGGATTGGTTTGAAAGAGTATGGGGTTGTTAGAGGGGCGTAATGCCATGACAATATGATCTGACAATGCGAGAAGTCAAGGTGTAATGCAGTGTTGAAGGTGTGTGCCTAGTCTATCTGTAAGGATTAGATCAGGTCTACCAGATTAAGTAGATGTAAAAGGTGTAGGGAAATCAGGTCTAAGGATTGAAATCCATTTCTTGTAGGTATAGTTGTAGTTGTTGACCATGCATGCTCATGTTGTGATGGAATGCATTGAGGTCTGCCATCAAGATGACAGGTATGTAAGTGTGATTGGAAAGTTTTGTTAGGTCTTGCATTGGTAGACTTAAGTTTGGGCAAATATAGGTCGTGCAGATGATATATGATCCTTCTTGTGTGTCTACCTTAATGGACATGACGTGTTTGTGTTGCTAGGCTGTTCGGACAACTTTATATTTAAAAGTGGATTTTGTTAGTAGTGCAGTGTATACGTGTATCTGATCAGGAGAGTGGTGTGTGGTGTAACCATAATGTCCGATTTTATGTGAGTTCGTAATGTATGTGTTGTTTAAAAGCAACACATCAAGTTTCTCAGTCTTCATAAAATCAGCCACCAGGTGAAGAATGTTAAAGAATGCCCGAACTTTATATTGCTTGAGTTTTTGTTTGAGAGTGTTGTATGAAGTGGAAACTTTTGCAGCTACATGTTTGTTTTTAACAATCATGTTCACTACTCTGTTATCAATCACGTGAGCCTTTGAACATTATCAGTTGTTATGAGAAAGACTTTTGTGAGGGTGTAATGCTTTGGTTTGAAGAGGAAACTCTAGACGGTGCTGATGTAGGTGGCGTAGATTTGTTTACAAGTTTTGGATCCTTCTGAATACGTGGTTGTTCATGTTGTGTGGCTGGCAGAGGAGTGGTAGCGCAAGGAGGGTGGGGGGTTACTGGATCCTGAGCTGGGTACATTTCTTGGGTGATAGGGCGGGAGAGTACAGCACCGCTCCTGTGCCAGGTAAGTTACGGGCTCATCATAGCCTGTGCTACCTGAAACTTGTTCCGAGTAGCTGAGTCTATAACAACAACAACAAACGGCGGGAGAAACAAGGTGCTTGCTGAGTTTTCTGTAGTCTAGGGTTAGACTTGAGCGTGTCCTGTCCGTTTTCTGTGTTGGCTTGAGTCGAGCTAATAATTGATTCAGTGGGGGGACTATGGAGGATGGATTACCAGGTGGAGTACGTACTCACCTGGCTGTGCCTGCGGGAGTTGAGCTTTGTCTCTTTGGTTCCGCCTCTCAATCAACTGGTGCACAGATTCTTGAGCCTACTGGGCTCTATCATATCTACATTTGAAACTGGGTATGGAGTCAGCCTCTACCACACCACTGCCTAATGCATTCCATTTATTAACTATTCTGACACTGAACAAATTCTTCCTAATGTCTCTGTGGCTCATATGGGTACTAAGTTTCCACCTATGTCCCCCTTGTTCGTGTTCCACCCGTGCTAAAGAGTTTGTCATTGTCAATTCCTTGAGAATTTTGTAGGTGGTTATCATGTCTCCCCCATACTCCTCTGTTTTCCAGGGACGTGAGGTACAGCTCCCCTAGACTTTCCTCATAGCTCATACCTCTCAGTTCCGGGACTAGTCTGGTGGTATACCTCTGAATCTTCTCTAACTTTGTTTTGTTTACAAGTTTCTTCCATTGTCAGTTTGCAGTGTGTCCCAGTGAGTAGCACCTGGAGCCTGGAACGAGAGGAGTGTGTCATCTGCCTAGATAAGTACTTGCGTTGTGCTCAGAGTTAGAATTGTGAAACAGTACTGTACGATATGTAAATGTGGTTAAGGTTTTTAAGGAGTGTACTGCTGAGTTCCTAGTAACTTTATTGAGATCAGTGATTGTCATTTAACATTCTTCGTATATTCTAGTTATCATTGCTTAGTGAATGTCGTAACCTGTATTTTGTATATTCTGAAACACTTCTACAGATTTTACTGGTGTTTACGTTTTAATAGTTGTTTTACTTGACTCCCCCCATAGTTATTTTGACTGTGGGAACAGGCTGATAAGGAGTTGGAGACAGCCTCCAGAAACATCAGCATTAACAAGTGTGAGTGATGAACCTGCATAACCTCTTGGCCACCATAACTTTGTCTACGTGTTCACATTCTCACGTGTTGCTTCTGAGGTCAGCCTGTCCTCCAAAAATGGGGAGGTAAATGTAACAGCACAAGTGCAATTATGTACTATTCGTAGCAGTCAGGAATTGTACTTATTTTCACTTAGTATTAAACCGTACTGTCATATATATATTGTGAATATTTGAGTTTACCTGAAAATCTGAATAGAAAACCACAACCTACCCTAACCTACTTAGTGTTTGAAGATAAGCATTTTATTGCTTCTAAACTACACTTAGTACTTAACCTATAGCTATATTGATATTACAGTTTTATAAAACTAATAAAACAAAACTAAAATATTTCAATAAATTGTAAAGTAACTGAGGATATTTTCAAATTTTGTATAAAGTCTCTATTGTTTTATAAAACTGAAAAAGAAATTCTTGATATTTAAAATTTTTTGGGAAGTCAGATTGAACTTGAAAACTTCTTAATATATTGAGTGTCTTAATAGAAAACGAGGGAATAAATGTGGAGGTAAATGTAACAGCCCCATAAGTGCGATTATTTAATATGTATGACAGTAAGAACACATACTGTTAATTCGGAGGATGGGTTGCCGAGGTAAGTAGGTAACTTACCTCGTTGCCTATTTACATTTCCAAACACCTAAGGGAATCTTCCTCGTCTGCTTGTTGACGTCTGATAAACAGTGTAATAAATATTGCTAATTCTCCCCAGCCCATCCTCCTAGGATGGTCAACTGTTCGACCTAAAAGGGAGGGGGATACCCCAATACGCCCCCCTCCCCTCTGTACAGGCTTCCAGTCCCCCGACAGCAGTAACTATTAATCCTTTCAAGGCTAATATGTCCTAGCATAGGAGACCAGGTGTACTTGGTTTCATCAGCCTCGTCTGGCAGAATCATACCAAGTTGTTTGTTTTTATAATATTGCAAACTTTTTAATTTTGTTTAAATCAATTCATTAAAATACTAAATTCATGAGCTATACAGTTGTATATATATATATATATATATATATATATATATATATATATATATATATATATATATATATATATATATATATATATATATATATAGCTCATGAAAATGTGATTCAACGTATTTCTTCTGGATGCAATTTGCACAAATAATTTGTAAAGCTTAAATATGCTATAATTTCATCTTTAGGAAGCATGAAAAAACCTCTTAAAGAAGTCATCCTTTGTTTACAAAATACTTATGTATACATTATACAATGGCTTTGTATTGAAGAATACTTAAAGCTTAATATTATTTTTACCTTTCTTCATTATAGCCCTGTGTTCCCCTCCTACAAGGACACTTGCCTGGAAAGGATGAACAAGTATTTTCAGGAAAAAGGATAAACATTTGAAACAATGTACTGTACTTTGTTTTATTAAATTATAATAATTATTAAGGTAGATGCCCTGTCTATCAGGTATGTGATAAACATCACAGAAATTTATATACACAACTTTCCAGCAGGACCGACAACCTGGCATCGTCTGACCAGGAGGGAGGTGAGACGTGTTTGTCTAGCTCATTCGCAACCGACGCCGGCTTGCCAATACCGGAGCCTTGAAGATTAGGTACAGCCGCTGCATCGGGTACGAATTTACCTGCAAGTCATCTTCCAGATATGGGGGAAGAGGCATGTTAACCCTGAAGGTCGACACAAGATCTCTGACTCTTCCGTTGAGCCGAACCAATAGTCTTGACACCAGCTTCTCAAACAAAATTAAAAATTTCCGAAATGAATGTACAGCTGGAGATCAACTGCATGTTTAGCAGTTTAATTATGGTTGATATATTCGGTCTATGTAAGTGGACCCCAAACATATCGTCGAGAGTTAAGAGCTGACATGGCATGGGGGGGAAGTAGAGGGTGGGGCTGGCCCCCCCCCCCTTCATCCCCCTCCCCTCCCCCCGTCAAGCAAACGGGATATATGGCACAGTTGTGACAAATAATTCTCAAGGATCTAGAGGTGGTTCATTTAGTTACCATTTTATTCACTACCACAGAAGCGGGACGGTAATCAGGGCCCAACAGCAGAAGCCATGGCGCTTCTTCCTATAAAAGGCCTTGTTGTTGTCAAACTCAACTAGCTCCTGTTATGCTCTAAATCGTCAGAATTCTTAACCTTCATGTGCTTTAAATAACGATTCAGGGCCTTGCTCCTTAAAATCTCTCTCGATCTGTCAACAAGCTTCCACTAGCTGTCTTTTTGTTTTAACAGAATCTCTTTCAACTCACTATTGAAATTAGAAATTGTCTATCATTTCATGCTTGATAAAATTCTTGTACAATGCCACAATTTTGGAACCGAGAACAGCTTTCTTGAATTTCACAATGGCGGCATCTTTTACTGTTTCTTGGATGAGAACAGGACTCCCAGTGCCGTGTATTCCCAGGCGGAGGTCTCCACATGTGCGGTAGTGGTGCAAGACTGAAACATGCTTCGGAGAACTTCGGTTCTTTGAAGTTTTCCGTAGGAAGTGGTGAACCATGTGATGGCCAACTGAGACGATGGCTTCCGGGATCAATATCATTTTAGAGCGCGATTTAGGGGGCCAGAGGCGAGCCTCTCTCTGGGTATGTAGAAACATCGGGAAACTGGTATGATTTTTATTGGTATTTTCCTTGAAATCAAAGCAGAAAAATGCATTGAGAATGAGAGCAGCATCGCCCACCTCCCCGTGTTTGGGCTTGAGGACATTGTGATACAGCTCGCCAAGATCTGCTGCGGGAGTTTTGGGGACCATGAATTCATCCAAATCAACGATTGCAACATACCGGTGACGTCCTGCACTCCTGTACACGCAATCATTGAGGGACGTGAGACTTCCTAGGTCCCAGAATTCCGACCACTCGCTTGTCGGTACGTTCCAGGGAAGGATCTCAATTGTAACGTTGTCTGTGGTGAATAGTTTCAGTAACCTCTTCACCTCGGGGCTCACAGCAAGATCGTAAAAATAAAAATGGGACACTAGTAGGGCCACGGCGTAGTACGATATGAACTGGGTTATACCCTCAAGGTCACTGTAAGGACCGTGTAGAGGACGAACGCACACTGCACTCGTGTTGCTGTTGGAGAACTCATTCAACGTTTTATCGTTACTTAAATATATTAATTTATGGGAAGCGTTTATCGTACCGAGAGCAGCCATTGATACAGCATACGGAATGCGATTTCTGCCATTGTTCTTTGCTTCAACACTCTTGTTAGTATTTACAAAGAAATCACCCTCGGATAATTGTGGATAGCACAAAAAGAAAGTACCAACAAATGTTTTCAATCCTTCTTCAAAAATAAAAGCTTTCAATACTCCATCTTGCGGATTTTCTTGATCTTCATACCACAGGAGACAAGAAACGTTAAGCATGTCCTCTTTTACCACGCCACTCCACTTGTATCCTGCGTCTTCCTTCACTAGTTCTCTCTGGTACCTAATGGCTCCCAGCACCCTGACGACTGGCCCTTCAGGAAGGTCACTGCGGGTGTCCCAGAACGAACTGTAAGTATAAACATCATCTGTGATTCTCATCCACAGAGGAGAACTGCCCTTGGAAGTCCTTGGTTCTCTTTCATCTCGCTGTGTAAACAAGGTGTTCCTTCTGCTGCCTTCATTACTCTCTTCAAATACTAAAGGCAAGTCACCCACACTATTTCTGTATCGTACGGGAAGCCTCGATGGCTGGCGACTTTCGAATGGTAAGGGAAATATCGGGTCCTCGCTGGGCTGGCCATTACTAGACCGGCTATGGCTAAAACCATGTTGGGCCAAAGCTGGCTTCGTCAAGATTTCATCTACTTTGAACACGTTACTATGAGCGTCCTGATGCAAAGTGTCGCGAGTCTGAGGATATTGGCGTGGCTCCTCTAGTTCATCCTCAAGGCCGTTTCCATCCTCCCTGAGCATGTACAGCCTCAGGAGGAGGATGCAGCAAACTAATGGCAGAAGTCTTTTGACCGCCCGCCGCTGGAGAATCATGGTTGCCGAGAATATCAGTGAATTGAGATGAAGACGGAAGGCAGTATTATAGAGATGGGGGAACTATCCCATACTAACACTTCCACCGGTACTAATAACAACGTACTGCAGCTCCAGGACCCCAAACAAACACAGCTGTCACCTGCAAAAAGCTCTCCATTAGTTACATTACACCAAGACCCACAATATGAATGAAACTGGTGATTACCTCATTTCATTTATTTAATTCTTGCCCGAAACACTGTGCCTATTAGTGGCTTTAGGCATTGTATATAATAGCTCTATCTATAAATCCAACATAATGTTTGTAACTCATCTTTTATGTATGAACTTTTACCTGAATAAACATTTTGATTTTTTTATTTGAAATTCTAAAGTATGAAAAAGCAGAATTAATATATCACAGCAAATGATAATACTGTATTAGGGAATATAGAATAACGGGTAGGTATGAAAAATGGGAAGATCACCATTTAAAAGAAATCCTAAATACAGCTGAACAGATGATGGAAGTGCTAAGAAATGCCAGGAAAATACAATGTGATAATGATGAGAAACTGTTGGCATTAAGGAAAGACTTGTCAAGTGAAGACAGAAAAATAAAAGATAACCACGATGAAGCAAAACTGATATGAGAGCAGAAGTGAAGAAAAATACAAACATTTCTACACGATAGGAATCACTTGGCACATTAACATAACATAAACATAAACATTAACATAAACAGCTAACAAAAGCACTAAGATAAAAAGGAAGGAATAAAAAAAAAGGAGAGTTGGGGAAGCCTATTCCTAAAAATCCTGTACACAAACATAAATGGGGCGAGATATACCATGTCACGAATATAACGCAGACTCCTGCGACGTCACGTCATACGTCACCCCTTTGTCCACTTGCTCCTGTGCAGAGTGTCAGGGTGTCATTGTGCACGTTTCATGTGATGCAAAACGGGAACCAAATCTATTCAAAATACCTGAAGAAAAAATAGATCAAATTAGTACAAAAGATAATTGTGGTGAATATATATATCAGTTAGGTTTTCAAAGTGGATATACGAGAAGACTAGATCTGGTTTATACCACAGGCCAGTGTTCAAGAGTCCACGGGGCATTAGAGCATTCCCGCTGTTAGCGGACAGGAAACCTCTACTTAGGCTTATTGTGGTCCCCTCATCCAACACAAGCAGAGTGGTTCTAAACCTGTTACGTCTCGTGGGCGTTTATACAACCACGTCCTCATCCGTAGGGGCCCCTACAACAACGTCCTCACCCGTAGGGGCCCCTACAACCACGCCCTCACCCGTAGGGGGCCCCTACAACCACGTCCTCAGCCGTAGGGGGCCCTACAACCACGCCCTCACCCGTAGGGACCCCTACAACAAACTAGGTCGAGCTACCTAAACTCACGGCAGTCATCGTTGCCACAAACATATGTCAAAAGTCCTGCATTAATATTCTCAGTTAAAACTGCATGTATGAAAATTAGAACAGAAACAAAAGAGTTCAATACATTCAAGTGTATTATTGTGTTACGAGTGCAATACAAAGTATTAGTCCCCATGCACTCTCTGGGGTCCATACAGTCGTGGCTAGGGAGAGTGGTCCCCCAGCCAGGGCCAACTGACCTTCTCCAAGATGCAACCCACAACAGCTCCCTAACTCCTGTCTATACCTAGGGGACAAACCTCGACCCCTTCCCCCTTCCCCTTCACACGCTCCTCAAGGCACAAGCCCCGCCTTCAAGGCACGAAACTCACTCTAAATTTCTCATCCATATAGCGTGCACAATACACTTGGTCAGGGGACACGAAGCCTGTAATTAGACTTGTCGAGGTCTGTCTAAGCCTAGTGACCTTCCTCAGCATGCAACCCATAATAGTTGTCTAAGTCACAATTTTACTGTTAGGTGAAGATAGGTATCAGTTGAAATGAAATGTGCCAAACTGATCACACACAGAGATCACACTAACGTGATGCATCAAATGAACAAATCCACAAGGGCAGTGACGAGGATTCGAACCTGCGTCTGGGAGCATCCCAGACACATCTCAGTCGATTAAGGCAGTGTCTGGGATGCTCCCAGACGCAGGTTCGAATCCTCGTCACTGCCCTTGTGGATTTGCCAAATTGATTTTGTCCCACTCAGGGATTGAACCGGGGCCCCCTCGATTATGAATCGAGGATGTAGTCTACTGTGCTACTGGACCCTTGATACATAGAAATATGACCCACAGATTCACGTCTTCTTTCGTCAACACGAAAGAAGAATTTTATGGAAGAAAATTGCCTCTGGCTGATGATTATTACGATTAGATGTCAACATGGTCTTGCAATCTGCAACGGAAACTACGATTTTCAACCGTAACAAATTACACTTTCTTGGTGCTAACTTGGTACACCAATTACAAAAGTGGATAATAAAGCACTATGAAAATAATGTTCTACTTTTGAAGGACAGAAAAAATGTACTTCAATACGGAAGTTGCTTAGAATTCACGTCCATGTTGCAGACTGCTTCGTTCCCGACTCAGGGATCCAGGGTTAGATTCCCGGGCGATACAGAAATGGCTGGCCACGTTTCCTTTCCCTTAATGTCAATCGACTTGAGAATGGTCCAGGACGGACCGAAACGTCGTCGTCCCTTCAACTTCTAGTGTGTGGTCTGGTCAACTTAATGTCATTGTTCACTTAACAGTCAATAGGTACCCGAGAGTTAGGCAACTGGCGCGGGGGTTGCAACACCTCCCTCACCACTAGGACCTGGATAAGGCCTAAGGTACGTACACATATACGTACACACACACACACACACACACACAGCCCCACCGTGGGGCCGGTGGCTGAGCGGACAGTACGCTGGACGCGTGACCCTGTGGTCCCGGGCTCGATTCCGGCCGCCGGCGAGAAACAATGGGCAGAGTTTCTTTCACCCTAATGACCCCTGTTACCTAGCAGTAAATAGGTACCTGGGAGTTAGTCAGCTGTCACGGGCTGCTTCCTGGGGTGTGTGTGGTGTGGGAAAAAAATAGTAGTTAGTAACAGTTGAGAGGCGGGTCGAAAGAGCAGAGCTCAACCCCCGCAAGCACAACTAGATGAATACAGAGGCTTCCTGTCCCGACTGACAGCGGAATTATTTAAATATACGCAGAAACATATGCAAACATACAACTTTAGTTACATTTTTAAAATACGTAATAATGATCCGAATTTAAATATTTGCTCTTTCCAACACAAGTAAAACCAAGCTACAGACCGCTGGCCGGGACGAGCAAAACTTACCTTAATTTTTCTTGTGCCTATCACTACCCCATAGAATTGTTATATAAACCACTTTAATCTTACGATCTTGTCCCACACATCAAGAAGTATAACAATCCCCGTCGTCGGGGACAGGAAGCCTGCGGTGCACAGGCTTACGTAACGTCGCTCCTAGTTTGAGCTACCTCATTCCTTTGTGTGTATTTAGAAAGCAATAAACTTATTTCAATTCCCCAGGATGCAGCCCACAACGATTGCCTAGCTCCCACTTACCAATATATTACTTGGTGAACAGACAAACCAGGTGAAAGTAAACGTGTCCACCCAATTCTGCCCCTCCCGGGAATTGAACCCGGGTCCTCGGGTAGGAGCCGAGGACTTCAGTTAGCAAGCAATGATATATAATACTTACATGCATCGTCCCATGTGATGTACAGGTCTACTCTACTCCCCGTACAGGTCAAGGTGTAGTCGCGCCTTACAAGAGTTCTCCACACTACCGGTCCGACAGTTACATATATTTACGTACTACACGGTCTCAAGGTGGACTAAGATATCCCATTGTCGGTAAAAACCGGAATGTGTAGCACCAGGAGGTCAGAGCGCAGCGCCACACTACCGCCCTCGCCGCTGTCTGGACTTCAACTGGCGCCGCGGTACTGATCCTGCAACATGGCCTCACCAGTTTTAAGCGCTGAAGTGTCAACACCCAAAGCGCTTAGCCTCACCGCCCATATTGGGTGGTGGGGCTAGCTAGCGGAGTGTTATCAGTCGGAGCAGTAGTCAGCGACGTCCTCATCCTAGTCGGCAGCAGTAGCAGCTCCCCCCTCGAATGTAATAGTGTTCGTTGGTGCAGGCACACACACACACACGCTGCCCAGAGTTATGTTTTGGTACACAAGGTACAGTGTACCTCGTAGCTGTACACTGTAACCCCCCCCCCCCCTTCCTTCTGTGTGTGTGAGAGAGGAACTAAGTCATATTATCTAGATATGAAGCATGGAAGTTAAATTGGCATTACTTTGTGCGAAGAGCATTGATGTTACCGTCATTGTTATGACTCTTATAATGTGTCAGGAGCACCTCCATGAGCGTCATGAGGTGTCTGCTGTACACAACAGACCGCTGGGTCACATGGGAGCCTCAGTTTGCTCTAACGGTTCACCATGGAGGGGTCAGTGAACGCTGACACCGAAGAAAATGGAAACTTTTTGGTATAGAAGAAAACTTAGATTTATATGGCAGACTTGTATATAGTTCTTTAATCAGCTTCAATTTAAAAAATAATTCTATTCGCAATCACATCTATACTTTGAAACCCAACTTTACTTAATGTTTTAGTAAATGCGCTGCTAAACTCTGTGCCGAGTAAAGCTAGCTAACATATGCTGACTAACTAACAGCTGTGCTGACGATATGATGATTCCAGAACCCCGGTTCGATTCCCGGGGGACAGTAATAGATGCAGGCACGTTTCCTTTCACCTAATGATATTTTGACCTAGTAAGGTAGAGACACTAGGGAGTTAGGCAACTGTTATGGAATTGCAACCTGTGAAGGGTCAGTAGCTCGACCTTAGAGGGGGGCGGGCCTCGATACAAGCCTACAGTCTATTTATTCCTACATAAGCTTCCTGTTGTTGAGAAAACGAAGCAGCATTAATACCACTGGGTATGGTGACACCCAAGATGCTCTAAACTCAGTATTAAATTTATGTCAGCATCTTGGTTTAGTTATATCATTAGAAAAAGCGAAGATGTTGAATCGGCGTCCATGGAGACGGGAAGGAGCTAGTCTCAAGATCCAGCAGCCAACGACTCCCAGCTTGGCTACAACAGCTGATTCAATGTCCTTGGCCTTGAGATCCCACTGCATGTACAGTCATGTTATAGTGAGACTGTTGTCAGTATTAAGGAGAAACTCAAGAGTTCTGAGGGCTGTGACGGGGCATCACTACCACAAGTGTTAAAATAGATATGATCTCCGCTTCCTGCAATGCCTGAAATCTTTTTGTCTCAAGCTCCGTCTTGAGGCAAAGTTCAACGTCTTAAGTCATACTGATACTTTGATCGTAGAGCATTCCCTCTCTCAACCCATATACACTGAGGGTTCTTTACAGCGCCCCTCCGGTGCAGCTGCAAGTGCAGTTGTCATGACAACGGGTGATGGATAATGTATTGACTGGGGAGTCCGTATAAACAGCTGGACCTCTACCCTTCAGACCGGACTATCTGCCATACTTCTTCCACTCAAATGTGTACAGATTTCCAAACTTTACACATTCATTATGCCCGAAAACGCTGTGGGGTATTTAGGCATAGTATATAGTTGTTCCATCTAGAACTCCAACATTCTGCTTGTAACCCATGTTGTATGTATGTATTTTCCCTAAATAAACATTATCATTGATCATCACCTAAATTAAATCATCACCTAAATTATCATTATCATCACCTAAGTTATTGGGATCGTCTCAAAGCCCTCCAAATGTACTCATTAGAAAGAAGACGAGAGAGATATCAAATAATATACACATGGAAGATACTGGAGGGCCAAGTACCAAATCTACACAGTAAAATAACAACGTACTGGAGTGAACGACTGGGAACAAAATGCAGTATAAAACCAGTGAAGAACAGGGGTGCCATAGGCACAATCAGAGAACACTGTATAAACATCAGAGGTCCACGGTTGTTCAACACCCTCCCAGCGAGCATAAGAAATATTGCCGGAACAACCGTGGAACGTGGACATCTTCAAGAGGAAACTAGATTGTTTGCTCCAAGGAGTGCCGGACCAACCGGGCTGTGGTGGGTATGTGGGCCTGCGGGCCGCTCCAAGCAACAGCCTAGTGGACCAAACTCTCACAAGTCAAGCCTGGCATCAGGCCGGGCTTGGGGAGTAGAAGAACTCCCAGAACCCCATCAACCAGGTATCAACCAGATATCATTATCATTAATTGTAAGGCAATTCTTTATCATCCTTAATTACTCTCAACTCTTTAAGACAGTTGTAACATGATCGTGTATGAAGCTTGACACACATACAGCAAAATTATTAATGATAGTAACAGAGTCCACTTGATGTAGATACCATCTCATGTTAGCCTCCGAATGCATGACAGCTAATGAGTTAGCCAAAGCATCTGCCTTCAAATAAAGAGTTGACCATAACCATGAATTGTCTATATAAGCAGTCTGTGGACAATAATACAACTTCAACAAAACCTTCTAAGACCTGAGACAAAGTGAAATCTACACCAGCAATTCCATCTATCATCACACTGCCGTGCAAGAAGAGCCACACATCTATCGCACATTATGTACACTCAGCAACGTTCTAGATGTCACTAATACTCGGCTTAGAGTCAGTTATTAGTATGTCTGGCAGTTTGCATTATCGACTGATGTGGATAATCCTGAACAAATGTAAACTGTGTCGCCAAACTTATTCGTCACTATGTGACTGAAGGCGAAAATATATAGGAATTTAGAGACAATTCAATAAGAAATGTTCAAATAAACGTGTAAATATTTCATTCAAAATGATCTACTACCATAATGTTTGTGTGTCATTTATCTACAATTTGTTAACTATAGGTATTAAGTACAGGTTACTGTAACCTTTCAGCTGCCGCCCACTGGTAATGGTCCATGACAAACAAGTCACATTTTGAAACAAACTCACCACCAATATGAGATGCTTAGCTTAGAGACTGTACTTGTGATCGTTTTCGAACCCAATGTTCATATATACATAAAACTGTGTAAATAGATTATCAAGACTAACTAGCTCAGATACGTGAATTTTGTGGTTCAATTCATGAACCCATTATGTGCCTGTGTGACCCATTTCCCACAAGTCCCCATGGGATGGGTATGGGGTGCATAATAAACAGACTAAAAATAAGTGATTTCATGGAGAACAGGGTCTTGTGCTCACAAATGAATTTTTGGGGTTTGAGATTGTGCTCAAGTTTCTGGGCCCCGCCTCCTTATCATGTATCATTTAATGAGGTCAAACAGGCTAGCTCTAGCTCTCTGTTCTCGTCACGTTTTCGGAAGCTGTTAACAAACCAGCCAACATTACCTGTGGGCTAGTTGGGGCTCCACAGCGTCTCCTGCCGCAGGTCACGTCACTACTTGTTGAGGTCAATAGAGTTGATGACTGAACGATTAACCTGGTGAAATTGACGAGCGTCCTGCTCCCTATCTATAGATAGATTCGGAAACAGCCATGGAACACAGCGTCTAATTCATTTTAATTATCTGGGACTGGAAGCCTTTTGGGCTTATCAAGCCCCCTCTAGGTCAACTAGTGACCTTCCCAGAGGATGCAACCCACAACAGCTGGCTAACTCCCAGGTACCCATTTACTGAGGATGGGATGAACAGAGGCATCAGGTGCTAGGAATCGTGCCTAACGTTTTAGGCACGACCATAAATTGAACCCTGGATCATGATCATTGGGTTTACACACTTGGACTTATCACCAGTTGATTGACTGTTTATCAGGGGACCAAAGAGCCGAAGCTCAACCTCCCCTAAGCACAACTAGGTAAGTACAGTGTTCTCAGCAAAGTTAACTACACACGAGTATTTCAAATGTTAGCGTCGTCGAGTCACAGCCGAAAGGTTTGCTTCCCGCTAGAGGACAGAGGCGTTTGGGCACTTTCCCTCTCAGCTAATGTCTATTTCACCTATCACTGAACAGTAGGGTAATTTGGCTTATCGAGATTCCCCTCAAATGACTGACCTGAAAACCTGACCATGCCAAGGAGGACCCACAACAGTTACCTAACTCCTGGGTACCTATTTAGTACTAGGTGAATAGTCGTCGGGTGAAATGAAACGTCCCTAACAATTGATGTTCCTCTGGAGATCGTACCCGGGATCCTTGAGCATAAGCCGAGGACGTAGACTCCTGCTTGTTCCAGTGTTAATGAGACTTTGTGCTCCACAAGCAGGCACAGCCACTGTCATCTGGATCTGGCTGTAATGTGGTTTGGAACTTGGGCACGAGGTTAAATATTGTTCTAGCCACGACAACTATGGTGATCTGGGGCCAGATTCACAAAGCAGTTACGCAAGCACTTACGAACCTGTACATCTTTTCTCACTCTTTGGTGACTTTGTTTACAATTATTAAACAGTTAATGAGCTCCGGAACACCAGGAGGCTGTTTCTAACAATAACAACAGTAAATTGAGAAGTTTTCATGCTTATAAACTGTTTAATAACTGTAACCAAAGCCGTCAAAGATTGAGGAAAGATGTACACGTTCGTAAGTCCTTGCGTCACTGCTTCGTGAATCTGGCCCCTGACCCCTGTACCGTACGTCAATTCTTTGGCAATGATCTCTCCAGTGTGGAACAGTATATGGCCTCAAAATTCCCGAAATGACCTTCTTTCTCACATTTACAGATCTTCTTAGCCTGAGTTATATCAGGATAATATGTGGATGTCATATACATATGTATATAACACATACGCACCGTGATATAGGCTGCCGGTAGTTTCTCAGACCATGGAGGCTTTTTAATTCCCGAAACGCTGTGCGTTCTAGTGGCTTTACAAGAATGTGAACATATAATGCTATGTACTCTCATAAACGCAATGTAACTTCTTGTATATATATAAATAAATATATAATGAACTACAGCTTATATTAAACTGTATTAGTTAGTCCTTTTCGTTTGTTTTCTTTATAAATATTTTGAATTGA